CTGTTTCTATAAAGTGGGGCAGTTCCAACTTTGCAAGGACAGTCTGGCGCTTCTGACTCACAGCTTGTAAGTACGTTTTTTATATTTAAAGCGTTTTTATTATTTTATATATTTAAAGCAAGTTTTTTGGGCAGTGTAGAGTAGGGCTTGTTGTTTGTCATTTCTCCAATCACTAATGCAGACATGGTTTTATGTTTATGCGGCACGATAAGTCAGTATAAGACAGTATAAGTCATTATAATCAGTAATTATGTCCCCACTGTATGCAACAAATGCCTCGTTTGTAATGGGTTTTATTGGTTTTGTCTCGTCGCTCCGGGACACGGCATCACAGTATGGTAAGGGGCGTAACATTTCCGTCACACGCTTGAGGTATTTGGCCAATCATAACGCACTGGATAGCTGGCCAATCAGCGTACACCTCGCTTTTCAGACCGATGAGCTTTGTAAAAATCGACGCGTTTCAGAAAGGCGGGGCATAGAGGAGAAACAATAATGTACAGTATGTGGAAAAGAATGTGTTTTTTTAACCTTAAACCGCATAAACACATTTCATTACACCAAATACACAAAATAATGTTCTTTTTTAGCAACATCATATGACCCCTTTAAATGGTTGTGTGTACTGTATGTGTAGGATAGGCCTGGAAAGTCATTCTAGTGAATCGGTTCATTGTAAACCGTACCCCCACCCTTCCCCCCAACCCATATGTTGTGTTGGAAAGTCCAAATCATTCTAGTGAATCGGTTCGTCTTGAACAGCTCACTCTTTCATATAATTCATTCGAGAATCCGTTATAGTGAGTAGATTTTTTCTAAACGATCTCGATGTAGCGATAGAAGTCCGATTCATTTTAATGAATCGATTTGTTTGGACTGTGTATGTAAATGAACCGATTCAAATAATGATTCACTGATTCGAGTTGCAGTACAGTAACCTTAAAAAAATTACGTGTATTATGGTATTTAATTATATTTAATGGACATTTATTTGTTCAGTTTTGATGTTGTCACCTTTATTGCGATTCATAAAAAAAACTAATTGTAAAAAAAAAATGCTGTGACGCAACTGATTATTTTTTAAAATATGTAATACAGTATTGTATAGCATTACTTTTAAACCTAATGTTCCCCAGCACTGGTGCACACAAAGCTCTGCCCTAAAAGCTGTGTATTACTTTGCCAGAACCCTACATGAAATCTGGATATAATAAATACACTCGATTCCAAGAAACTATACGTATGTGTGTCTGACATGCCTGACATGGCTTCAGGCAGTCATGCACACATGCATGATCTGACTGCATAAAAAGCTTCCTGTGTGAATGGAAGCTTATCAGACCCCCCCGGCCCGGTTCTCCTCAGCAGATTGGGGGTCTGGCCTCCGCAACACGACGCCAGAATGGAGACAGACCGAGCACAAGAGAGCAAAAGCTTGGCTGATCAAAGTGCTCGCCACAGACACCTCTTTCAGCCAATTTGTGCAGCTGTCAGGGGCACGGCGATAGCGCGTCAGGGTGTGTAGTGTGTCAGGAGTCATGATGGGAGAAGCCTTTGAAACGTCAAAGGCGTTCACTTCGCCGTCAGACAGGCTTAGATTAGAGGGAAAGGGAGAGATGATGTTGCTTTTACAACGGACTCCAGCAGCAATCGCACACATACACATACTCTAGGCGCAGGCCCGGACTGGCCACCGGGAGAATTTTTTTTAAAAATTATTATTATTATTATTAATAATATTTTATATTTATGCCATCTCAATGTACCAAGGTGATCATTTCGATAATAAATCATATATAGTCTTGATTGGCAGCGCTGCGCTATACGAATCAGCTCACATGTGTTCCGCGCTTCCGTCAAACGATTCCGAACAGAACCGATGCGCGGGACTCGCTGCTCAAAAAACATTTATTATTATTATTATTAGTAGTAGTAGTAGTATCACGTTGAAAACAGAGTAGATTTTTTTCAGGTTTATTTGATGAATAAAAAAGTTTATAGAAAGCATTTATCTGAAATAGAAGTCTTTTGTAACATTATAAATGTCTTTATAATCACTTTTGACCAATTTAAAGCATCCTTGCTAAATAAAAGCAATATTTAGCAAAGAGAAATACCCCCCCAAACAAAAAAATATATATACTGACTTGAAACTTTTGGTATAGTGCATGCATAATGTTACAAAAGCTTTTTATTTCAGATAAATGCTGATCTTTGGATATTTCTATTCATCAAAGAATCCTGATGTACTCAGCTGTTTTAAATATTGATGATAATAATAATAATAATAATAATAATAATAAATGTTTCTTGAACAACAAATCAGTATATTAGAATGATTTCTGAAGGATCATGTGACACTGAAGACTGGAGTAATGATGC